AATTTAAGCTAAACACAATATTCTTTTATAGTTTACGTATAAAATTAAATCATTGAATGAAACCATGCTCCTTCGTTGTGTCAGCTTTACTGAACACATGCCCATGGAAAGGCTCAAGCTCATGGATCGAACTGAAAACATTTCCTTTTGTTTCATTTTTTAGAATTCTTTAGGAATATTTTTGGATGGGATTCCCTGCCTTTCTCCAAGAGAAAACAGTGCAGCCAAGGGCGGGTCTTAAACATCCCATCTGTCAGCTGTAGTATCCTCCAGCAGCTCAAGCCACCCAAAACACAATAGCCTGCAGGGAATCATTGAGGAAAAGAACTTCAAGATTTAGTCAGATCTCCAGACAGACTGCAATAAATACCTTTCTCACTACCAACACTTGCTGTGAGTTCAGGCTGGCTCTAGCAGCCACCGATGGGGAGACACATTCACCATCCAACCCTGTTCATAGAGCTTAGGAGCTACTCAGCTGCACTTCAAGGGATGAGCAAGTTTGATCCTTTTTCCCTACTCCTCTAACCAATAGAGCTCAGTTGAAATGAAGTACCTTCACAAGTAAAATACACAGACCTCAACAAATCCCTACTTGCATAAACCTGTGTTTTTGCTAACCACAAAATGTAGTATAAATTACTTGGAGACACTTTCCCTTTTCCTTCTAGCAGAGCAAAACATGATTTACATTCTGTTTGTGGGTGAATCAAGTGAAATGTTTAATTATAAACAGCACTTGTAAATATAATCCTTTCAGCTGGAATATTTTTATAGTGAAAATGAGCAAGATCTTAATAATGATTTCAGTTACAAAACTTAATTAGGCCTGTTTCTCATTCCATGCCCTGTGCAATGTTTGGGTGTAAATTTGCATTTACTAAATAGGGCCATGAAACACCAGAGAATAAACTATGGGTGTGAGGCATCCAAGCTCCACTGGTTGCATTGATGCTGTGAGAATGAGCATCAGCTGAGGATCTATCCCCAGCTAGATTCAAGTGGTCCCTAGCAAAAATGAAAGTTATACCAGTTAGTTTTATTTATGGAGAGCTAAAATACACACTTTCCAAAGCCAAGTCTGTGTTCAGCAGATGAAATACGTGTGTAACTTGCACCAAGGTTATGGAAAGGTGGAGGAGAATGTTTATCAATGTTGATAGGATTTTTTTCTCTGGATATATCTACTAGGAGAGAGCATCTTCTACAGGAAACAGCTTACAAGATATTAATTTTATGCTTAGTCTAATTGCTCAGACATCCTGAAATGCTACCATATTGGAAAGCACTAACTGACCAATCAAGCTGCATTCTTCAGGTCATCAAAACCTGCTAGATAACAGGCAGTTGAAGAGCTACTCGCTCACTCTTTCCCTTCCCAGTGGGATGGGGGAGAGAATCACCAATAAAACCCCAAACAACGAAACCACACACACAAAAAACCCAAACAAAAACCAAAAAAACCCCACACCCCACAACAAATAAAAAACCCCAGTAGTGATGGAAGATGGCCAAGATAAGTAACATTTCAGGTTAGAGCTGTGTAACCCAACTGGCCTGGGATTATAAACAGGTTTGCATCCTCCTAGTAACAAGTGCTGTCCTAAACTTATCAAATCAGGGAGAGCAACTCCCTTAAGGCTCCTCTCCATGTCCTCTGTACATGGGTTAACCATGAGCAGGAGAGAGAACCCCGGCCCTGGCAACACTAATAAACTAAAAGATTAACCCCTCCATGATCAACACCTTGGGAACCGCTTCCTTAATTTTACAGGGAAGTATTTTAGGCTCATACCTAAAACTTGAGGTGTACATGTAGATGTTTGTACTGTGCTAAAGCTGTAACATACTAAGCAGGATGTGAAAGAATATCAGATATACTGAATCAAATATACTTTGTGATTTCACAAGATCCAAGACTACTTAAACCAAAGTCAAAACACAGCCAGCATTGAAGCAACAGAAATTAACTCAGGGTCAGCTCTGGGTTCAGATGCACCAACACAACTATCTAATCAAAGAGGGGTTTTCCCCAAAAAGCACAGATTTTTGCCTCTAGCCCTTGGTTTAAAAAACAGAAAAAAGGAATTATGCACTCTCTTAAAGCCATCCACCAAACTGAGTCTCATGAAAGGAAATAAATATTGAGGCTTGGGAGTTTTGCTGAAGCAGAGACTAATACCTGTCATCTTGGACAAGCTTTAAACACCTCATAAAGCCCCCAGCAGCTTCAGATACATATTTCTGCTTTAGAAAACAGAGAGTTCTGGAGGAAAATAACATTAAAAAAAACCAAACCAAACCAAAAACCAAAAGTTTCAGTTCACCAAACCAATGTATTTGTTAAATAGCCAGATAAGTTACACAAAAGACATATGTGCTGATTTGTAAGGTGGGAAAAAATCTACTATGTAGTGATTATACAGCTGGTTAATTTTAGGAAGAATTTAACTTCAAGAATTTCATCTTCTTATTAAGAAAAAAGAATGCAATTATAGCTTTGACATGAAACAATTTATCTCATACTTGGTGTTTCTTTCTGTTTGTTGGTTTAATGCCTCAAAATTATTTACCTTATTATTCACCTCTATGTTAGTTTTGAAGAACGTCTTTTTGTGCCTTCAAGCCACTTTACTCATTAGTTCTCTGGAGTTCATGTCCTATTTCATTATATTTTAATCTTTACAGTTGTTCATTTGCATTTCATTTCCCGTAAAAAAATTACTAACAAAAAAAAAAAAAGACTGTAAATATTAATACAAGTGTCTCGGTTTGAAAGACAGCTATTTGCTAAGGAAAAAGCAAGAACCCTTTCCCTGAGATGGAGAGTGCATCTCCCTCCCTTCCAATTATTATAGTTTGAAATCAGGGGCTTTTAGGCAGAAGATATGGGAGGTAGGAATAACAGTTCTTTACTAATATATCTAGCAAGGCAAACAAAAGAAACAATAGCAGCTATAAAAACTGACAACAAAACAGAACAGTATAGCTCAGTTCCAGTCCCTTTTGGCCACAGGCCCTCTCTCCCTGCGCTCAATTACCGGTGCTGGGGGCAGGGCAGGGCCCGCACAGTTGAAAAGGGCTGGAGTGATGGCAGCAGCAGCCCAGGGGTGAGAGGGATGTAGGAGAGACTCCCCCTTCACGGTGCTGATCGTGGTGCTCAGCAGAGTGCCCTGAGGTAGTAGGATGAAGTGGGAAGGTAGCAGTGTGAAGTCTGACAGCAGGGAACGTGGCTCCCAGCATTGGGATGGCGGAGAGGATGCTAGGTAGGAGCCCCGGCCATCTTCCTCCGACTCCACCAGCGAGCAAGAGAGCGAGAGAGCCTAGGCCCCTGTCCCCTCTCCTTTTCCAGTGTCCCCCCTGTACCCACCCCCCTGCAAGAGAAACTGTTACTAGCTAAGGTGTGGCTACAAATGCTCAGCATAACAATAGCACAAATTCCACAGAAAGAAAAGGGAACAATTCAACCCCCAACAAGAAGTCACCTGATAGTCATCCAACAAAGCATTTTGCAGCAATAGCAATTACCTATGTTTGAGGAAGAAAGTAGCAATTCACGTAGCTACAGAGACAAAGCACTTCAAGTTGAGGGCCCGGCACCTTCTTACAAGACTGGGCGGTCACAGAACGGCACTTACAATTATTAGCAACTTGCTGAAAAGAGGAGCTGCCCAGAGCAAAAACAAGACCTATTGGGTAATCAGGAGTCTAAAGGACATCAGAAGTTGGGCTACATACTTTCATCTGTTAAGTGCAAGGAACTGCTTAACTAATACCACAGCCATGATATTTGTCGCGGTGGTCCCTGGGGCAGTGGTGGAGTGCGCTGACCTTCCTGAAGAAGCGTCCTGGGAAGGACATCCTCAAGGCACAGGCACGTCCTCCATGCTCGCTCCCAGGCAGAGAGTGATTTCAGCTCTTTTGCGAGCTCTCCGCTTCGGCCGGTGCAGGAGGAAGAGATAGGAGCCACATGTGGTGATCTAAGGTGAAGCGTTATTCTTCTTTCCTTGAAGGGGTCCAGGGATGAACTTGCTGAAGAGGGTCTGAGGGAGCAGGGTTGATATAGGAAAGCCAGATGGTGGGGTAGAGCAGCAAACAAATCATCTGAGGGCTCAGGGGTGGTACAAAGGGGGAAGGGCCAATGGGGTACAGGCAATTTACATGAAACAGGGAGGCATGCTGGGAGTAACTTTTTTTAACCATTATGACGAGGGAGTGCCTAAGGGCATAACCTCCAGGGGAGAGAGACAGACTATTTTGCTGAGAGGCTTTCAGCCTCCACAGACATTGACTTACAAAAATTTGGAAAACAGTAAGCCAAGAAAAAAAAAAAAAAAAATCCTGCACCAGAAAAACCAGCAAGCCAGGTAGGTCCATCCACATACCTTCTCTTTCGTCCCTGGTTCCTAGCATTGCATCACAGCAACTTCAGTTTTCACTTTGGGAGAGACACACTCAGCTCAGAAAAAGGGAAATCCTGTCGACTCACTCAGATCTGCACCACTGTTGTGCAGGCTTTGAGCTTTGCTTTTGCTTCCCCAGGCCAGTTCACCATGCTGCTCTGCAGGGCCAGTTCAACCACCAGCAGAACATCTTCTCCATCTCCAGAAGTGATCCCTTAGCACCAGTGGATCATATTGTTCTGTCTGTGGATAATTATCCTCATTAGATAAATAAAAGGCAGGATTGTAAATACACCTTAGTTTTAACAGAAGAAAGCACTTAGTGACTCCTTATGCATGAGTGGAACCCCAGCTCTGCCTGACTCAATCATTATCTCCTGCAGGTGCTGCAGAAGAGTTAGAAGAAAAGAGGGCAGCAAGAGTTGCTCCTTTAAGAAGATCCACAAAAGAGAAAATGAAAGCTCAGTGACTGCCATTTGAACTTCCCCCTTGTAACTTTCCTTCTTGGCCTCAGACAAAGCCCCTGGTTGAGAAAAGGTTGACCAGCAGAGAACCCCATAAACTGTATTTCCTGGCTTGGTTACTGTTCCATATCCCCAGCTGTGACAGTATCAGTAAAGAAACAGCCACATGGAGTGGTGACAGTGGGATTTTGGGAAGAGCCTTATAAAAGCTTGGTCCAGGCTTTCAGCTTCCCAGAGTTTGCAAGAGGATTGCCTCTAATTCCTTACACTTGTGAATTTGTAAAAGCTCCACCAACTTGCAGGAAACTGCTCATCTAAAGCCCTTTCTCTGAGCAGCTCTTGTCCATCTGTCACAGCAACCTGCTCTCCCAGACATGCTGCCTGCAGGCAAAGCATGACAGCTAGATGGACTTAATACTCATAAAAAAATAAATGAGGCACTTTTTTTTGTTATTTTCCTGTCCAGTTTCTCAGATTTTCTATGTTTCCACAACTGTTTTGCTAGGGACCAGTACCCTCCCACACTCACACAGGCCAGGGGATATCTGCAGCCACTGACCAAAGGAGCTATGATCAGGAGAAAATGTCCCTACTAAAATTCTGAGGACGTTACAGGATTGATCCTTGCAGTAAAAAATTAAGAGTTTCAACCTGGAAAAATAGAGCTTTTCTTGACGAGAAATTTGAGATAATTTACTTTAGTGATTAACTTAGAAAAACCTTGGAGGTAACCTTTTAGACAAGCATAGTCCTCACAGAGTTCCCTCTTGCAGGAATAGGAAACCATTTCACAGGCGTTTCAATATCAAATTTATTCTGTTAACTCCCTCTGCCCCCATGACTGGGAAGAAAAGGGAGGGTGAAAGTGGGCAGGGAAGAAGTCCTGCTGTCCTGCAAAGCCATGGGAAAAGACAGAACAAGTGTGCTGTGCCAGTGGTGTATTTCCCAAAGAACTGGGAAAAAAAAGGGTTGGCCCAACAGGGACAATAGCAACCTCCCATCAGAAAAACCCATTATATCTTTAAAGGAATAAGAATTGACAGCCACATAGTGAGAACTCCTGCTAGTGAATTCAAATAAGGAAGCACCCAGGAATTAACTGGAATTTAGCATCTGCAAATTTCCTGCTGAGCAAAGTTAGTCTCACATCTGCCAGCTTCCTACAGATAATATTCCCTCCCTGCAAAACAGGATCTGTACACAGCACATCTTCCAGATGATCTGGCTTCTCCCAGTGCATGTCCAGTGCTACAGTCTGTCCCAAGGGTTGTCAGACAGCTTCACTTCTACCAGCCTTCTCTTGGGACAGCCCATGTGTGGGAAAAGTCTCAGCAGCTTTAATGAATTTTCACATCCTTTAAAACAGATTATCTTCTTTTTTCCAGAGGAACTGAACAAACTCTCCTCTCACTGGACAAAGTGTAGAGCAACCTCTTTTCAGTCACTTGAGTTTTGCTGGGGTTTAGAGTAATGTAGCTGGAAGCAGGGAGGCTTTAGCTGACAGATTAAGTTGGCAGAGCTGTCCCAGATTCTGCAGCAGCTGCTGTGATCCACATGTGAGAAAAACACACAAGAAAAAAAGAATCAAAAAAGGTAAAGGTATCAAACAAGATGAAACAAGAACTAAACAGAGGTACCCATCCAAGGTTTAGGCAGCAAATCATCCCATCCCTGCTTTACAATCTCTGATCTCTGTTATTTCTTCTTTTCCCCCTTCCCAAGCTCTTTCAAGAAAACTTGGCACAAGGGATGATGCAGTAGTGCCATGCACAGACACAACACTGAGCAGGAACACAAGGCCCCCTCTCTGACCAGTTTAAATGTCAAGAGAATGCATAATATCCATCTTGATCACACTCCTTTTTTCTTTCTTCCTGCCTTCCTCTCTTTTTTCCTCCCTATTCAAACTGTTTCCATAGATGCTGAAAACATTGGAAATAGCATGGGTTTCTAAGCTGCTGACAGCAGTCCCAATCCTTCTTACCCCAATCCTTCCTTTGTTTCCTGCTGGACTCTAACCCATCCCTGACTGGGTGTTGTCACTTGTCTTGTTGACTGCAGGCTCTCCAAGACAACTTTCCTGACCTTATACTGGGCTTAGTGAAGTCCTGGATCATGACTAAGGCTTGAAACACTAAGGGACTCTCAACTAGAATATATTTCTGCAGTCATAACTTCTGTCATAAAAAGCACCTATTTTGTAATCACCATGAAATTTTCCTTTTTCACTCCTCGCTGCATGATAGTGCAGAATAATACCTCATAGTGCAGAAGTATACCTCTCATAGTGAAAAATTATACCTCAGCAGTGGTTTTCTCTACTCAGGGTTAAAGTCTAAGTGGTGCAGAAATTTGAATTCCCTTTGAACCATCTTCCCTGTAAGATGGTGGAATGATGACCGTGATCCTCAGCAGATGGTGTGGTTACTGAGGTTGGTAGGAAGCAGCTGCAGTCCCTCCCCATCAATAACAGTCGAGCAGATGGCTCAACTTTGGCTCCCGAAACAATCATTAGTAATGATGCATCAAAAAGTTTTTTGATGAGTGCATGAGAAAAGTAAATAGGACATGGTAATAATCAGACTTTATTTATAACCAGGTAAAACACTGTTGTTGTCAATTTTACAAAGTGACTTTGAAGGAACTTTCTAAAGGGGATATTGAGAATGTTTTCCCCCGCACCTGCAAACAACCATAACCATTATTGATAGCATTTCTAGAATGGCAGGTACAGAGAAACAGAGACTGTTATTTTGTGTCAAAATTGGTTTATGTTGCCATATTTTTCCCTTGTTTAAGGCAGCACCACTCATTCACTACATTTAACAATGTAATTTATGGACTTTAGCAGAGCTTACTACATTTCAATGTTTTAGCATTTCATTTTTACAACATACCTTGTTCCAATACAATCAATGTGCTTTTTTCTCAGGCAGTGATAGGAATGCAGTTTATATTTTATAGCAAAATCAATGTAAGAATTAATGGGTGATGAACAAAGTAAATTGTAAAAAGTGCAGCAAGCTTGTGAGATCTCTTTTGCTATATTGATTCCATTAGCATGAGGCTGCCTAGTTGTATGCAGTTTCATATTTGATAAGCAAGCAGCAGACCTCTATTCTGTGGAAGACAAAATGGGCAAAGTTCAGCACTGGAATAACTATTCCAAAGTCATTGAGGTTAAAGCAATAATGGAGACGAGCCAAGGTGGCTGCTGAAACACAATGAACTTCAGAGGCAGCAGCCATAAACATCAGATGGTCAAAAACGGTGCCACTGACTTTTATTAAAGGCTGTGATACTGGAGAGATGACATTCTTGGCTGTTTTGTGCTGCTGGGTTATATGTCTTTTAATTAATTCCAAAAATTGATGAGAGGAGAATGCTACTCCCAAGGTTTTTTTGCTAGTAGATGAAAAGCAACATTTTTTAAAAAATGTATGTGACCTAGATTTCTTGTTAGAGACAAGCAGGGAGGAGCTACAAACAAGCAAGCTACAAACAGTGTAACCTGTAACAGATTTTTTCTTTCCTTTGATGTCTTTTCACTTCTGAATTTTACTCTTACTCTTGACAAGGGTACTTGTGCAAGGGAAAAACCTTCCTTGAAGTATCTCTGGAGTCTATCTCCCCATGGAGACTCATAGCAGAGCTCATTCCATGCTCTCCCACAAGCCAGGAGACAGAAAGCCTCATAGCACCTTGTATCTGGGTATCTCATGAGCAGACCAGCAGCACCCATGGCACACGTGATGTGTTCTCAGCCCCTTTCCTTCTGCTTTCCATCACCAGCAGCACATGCACATTCCTACCAGGTCTTCCACCTCTGTGAAATACAGCTGCAGCACTCATATGCTCAGGTTTGTGGAAAACTAACAAAGTGGGATCAAACATCTTTCCAAGTGTCCAGTTGTCCCAGTTTCAGCTGGAGGAAAATTATTTCAATCCCAGCCAAGACTAATACACCAGTTAACTCTGATTATTACTTCACACTCCAACTCGTATTTCTGTTTCATAATCTGTATCAACAAATTGCAGTGATGCCCTTCCACTCTGAAAAGCATCTATAACCATTCTTATTCCAAATAACAGATTAGATGCATCTGTTCATGTTGCTACATTATTTTTCAAAGCTGTAACCAAACAGAGTAATTATTGTTCAAATCAGACTCTGGATATTTTCCATAAACAACAGTAAAGCATTCTGGGGTGTGTAGCATCTGTTTCTATTCTCATCTTCACCCTTTCCTTTGGGAACCTCCTTTTCATTTCTATAACCATCAACAGGTTTTAATAGAGCCCAGGAAACAGGTCCAAGAATGGTAGCCATGACAAACATTTTCTGCAGGAATATTATCCTCCAAATGTTCAAAATCGTTCTTACATGGCAAATTTGGTTCCCTCTTTGTTGTGAAAATCTGAAAGTTTCTTTTTCTTATGGGTGTACTTGGAGCAATATAATTTAATTATATTCTATTTCAAAACAAATTGTTGATACAGACTCGAAGTGTCAGTAATTAGATAATTTCACAGTGCACATTCCATTGTCACTGTCATACCTTGTGACTGTTTATTTGAAGAGTCCTTCTAGCATTGCAGCTACCCCAGTATTAAACATAATAATAGATGGTGTGATTGGAAAGGTTCACCCATTGCTTTCATATTTCAAGTAATGAGCTCTCCTACTCAAACATGGAGATTTAGATGGCAAGGAATAAAATGCTGGCCTTAATTAGTATTAGTAGTAAAATTGGAATTTTTAATTTAATTGGAATTGGTAGTAAAATACTCATTGGCTTCCCAGGGCTTACATGTAATCACTTCCTTGCAAGTGAAGATTATTTGTAACATAAATTAAATGTTAAAATAACAAGTATTATGATCTCTATCCTCATTTTGAGTGTCAAGAAGGTTAATGTAGGAATACCCTGTTTATTCACTCACGGACCCCTTAACCCAATTAAAAGTATGTTCTACACACACCAAATCTGCATAACAGCCCCTACTGAAAAGCTTAAACCAACATCCTCAGATCTCTGTGAGTCTTGACCATTCACACATGCATGGATGGGGGGATAAAATCCCTCACCAAAGGATGGGAGCAGAAGTTTTCAACCACATGCACCACATCTTCCACCAATTCTGGCACTGGAAGGGAGAGGGCAAACTCTGGCACTGTTGTGGGAAGGTTGCTGATATCCCAACAAAACCTTCTGCTGAGGGATGCAGAGGGGCTGGGAAGGGGGTCTCATTCCCTCTTCTTGCTCCTGAGCTTCCCACCTACTGCGCTGTTAAAGTCACTGAGGTTTTGTGTTGCTATGCCGTGAACTTCCTCTGGGCCATTTCTGGAGCAAAGCACAGAAAAGTCTGCAGCACTTTCTAATTTAACAGAAGTCGCATTTTTTAAATGTTTCATTAAAAAAAGTAAATCTGTACTTTTTTTAAGAGAGCAAGATATGCAGATAATAGATTTTTTAAAATTATTATATTAAAACACTGAAAATTAACCATCTATATTTTTTCCATACCTGATTTTGGTTCCTTTTCAAGCTGTTTATTTTAAATACAAAGAGCGTGCTTAAACCACACACAACCAAGCATAGTGATTGCCAATCTCATGGCATAAGATCTTACAATTCTAATGTTATTCAACAAGACATGGACTAAATTTAGGCTCACTTAGTGAGGCTGCTTTGAGAAAGCACCAGCTGAAGTATCTGTCAGTAGGCAGTGATCTCAGCCCTGAGCAGCTGGAGCTTTCAAAGGAAAGCACAAGCATCATTGTAGGCTGAATATTAAAATGGTTTACTTTCAACAGCCTCAGCTTAGCAAAATGTTGGGTAAATAGAATTATCTATTTTTAAAATTGGCCCTGTTATATTGCTGTAGTCTTGCACTACATCTGGAAATTAGAGGAAGCTTCTTTAAAAGCTTTAGCTTGAGTTCACTTACCCTAATGGAGTAGGAGCCAAGGTCTTTATCTGAAATAGAGTGCTTCAAGAAATGTGTTGCTGTTTATTAAGAGTGAGATGCCTTTAATGACCACAAAGAAACTCAAGCAAGGAAAACACACTCCGTTTTCAGACACAGTTCTTCAAAATGCATTGGAAGATGTTTATTCCCTATATGCCAAGATTTATCCTTTTTATTTTAACTTAGGCATTCATTTGAGCAATAGAGCTAATTTGGTTTTATTTCTGGTCAGCAAAATAATCTAATTCCAGATTCTAGTGGCATGGAGGACAGAGGCTCAACTCCTTAATACCAGGGCAACCACTCTCCCAACACAACCTCAGCATCACAACATGTTCAGAAATGCCCTTGCATTTTCAATGGCTTTTGGTTTTGTTTTGGTTTGCTGCATTTGCTGCAGCTAGCCCCTCTTAGATGCCAGCTAATAATCATCAAATATGCATAATAACCATATTTACCCTGATTTTACCTGAGACAAATTTTCCTTCCCTGCTAATTGGTGCAGCACTTTCAGAGGTATAGTATCTCTCAGCCTTCTTCTTGTGATCAAATTCAGGTGAGGCTGGTCAATGGATTCAAAAGTGTTTGGGCAGGAGGTGATGCAGGAAGGTACAAAACACACTCTCATAACTCTCATTTGCATTAAATAAATAGACCTGCAAGGGAAAAGGAATCAAAATATAAAATACTCAAACAACGGTTCCAATAACAGCTATCTGAATATGCAGGATGTCTCTGCAGCCTCTTTTTCCCTTAAAGTGAGTAAAGAAACTGTCAGGTAATGGCCAAATAAATCAGTCAGTTTTATCAGCCACAGCTGCTGCCTGTCCTGGTCCAAGACTTAGGAAGCACTCCAAAATTCAGATTGTTCTCCACGAGGCATGCTGAGATCTAGATATAGTATTTCACTTTTTAATTAAAATATATTTTTCACTCCCTATGTACATAAGGAAAAACAACATGAAAGTAATTGAGACTTCACCTTTCATATGTCAAATCATGATAGCTTTTCTTATTCACTGGCATGCCAAATGAGTACTTATAGCAAGATTCACCATCAAAGAGCAAGCAACCTCCTTTCCAAGGATGACGGAATCAGGCTTAGATAAAATAGGAACCAACTTATGCTCAAAATGAATCCTTATGTCAGGCTGCTGCACCTTTGCAAAGTCCTTCATCTCTCTAAAACGTGCCATACTTCATTATAATATATGGGAAAATGCAGCAGCTTCTCCAGGAATTTCACAAAAATTACTTACCAAAGCCGACAGTATTCAGAAGTTAATGCCATTAGTACCAGTGAGCAGAACTGAGTCATATATTGCAGGCTGTAATTTCAAGGTCTCATTTATCCCTCCCAGGTATCAATATTTTGTTGCAGCCTTTTTGTGGAAAGCTTTTATTTCAGGGGCTTTTCTGCCACTAATACACCATTAAAAGGAAAAGCATATAAAGGAAAGAAAATACTTTCCTGCACTTGGAAGGCACTGCAGGTCAGAAGGTATATGAAACCACAGAATAGGTTGAGAGAGCTGGGGTTGTTCAGCCTGGAGAAGAGAAGGCTCCAGGGAGACCTGAGAGCCCCTTCCAGTGCCTAAACAGGGTCCAAGAAAGATGGAGAGGGACTTTGAACAAGGGTCTGGAGTGACAGAGCAAGGGACAATGGCTTCATACTGACAGATGCCAGGATTAGACTGGGTATTAGAAAGAAATTGTTCACTGTGAGGCCCTGGCACAGGATATCCTGAGAAGCTGTGGATGCCCCATCCCTGGAAAGCCAAGTTGGATGGAGCTCTGAGCAACCTGGTCTAGTGGAAGGTGTCCCTGTCCTCAGCAGAGAGGTGGAATGGATGAGATGATCTTTAATGTCCCTTCCAATCCAAACCATTCTGTGATGCTTCTATGATGGCACGCCACCAGTGATTGAGAGCTGAGGGTCTGACAGCACAGGGACTGCTCCTGCAGCACAGGAAGGGTTGTGTCAGAGATCAGACAGCTATAGGAGCTGGGTAGTGCTGCTGACCTTTTAGCCCTAGTACAGTGAAAGCTGAGGGAGAGAGTCCTGGGGTACAATGCAAAAACGTGTATTCTATCACCATCTGTTGAAATGTGGGAGGGGTGGTGATCCTTATCTCTGTGGGAGATATCCTCTGCTGATGTGCCACCTGATAAATCAGGGGGATGATCATCATTATCTTTTCACAACCCATCCTTCCTCCAGAAGATATCTTCTGTTAATGGGCCATTAAGTCCTATTGTATGACTGATAAGATTACATCATCCCACTGGGAGATGCCCCAGCCAGGGGCAGGAGCCAAGCCTTTCCTACCTAGATAAAAAACTGGGGTTTGGGACATGAAGACAGCCCTTTCCACTGGATCCCAGAGGAAAGTTGGACCATTTCCACATCATCGCTGGATCTTTGGATGAAAACTGCACCTTCTACAGGAGCACTGCTTCAACTGAACCACATCCATCATCCAGGAGGACTGCAGCCACCATTTATACAGACTGCTACCAACACCCTGACTGACAGGGTGTCAGGTTGTATTCTGACTCTGTTGGTGGTTTTTCTTTTGTATTATTGCATGTATTTTATTGTTTCTCTCTTTTTTTTTCCTATTAAATTGTATTACTGACTTGGAGTCTCACTGGTTTTGCTTTCAAACCAGTACAGATAGACTCAAAGCAAGCATAGAAGTGAAGATGTGTCTGGTCACTCTGACCCTCTGATGGCCATTCTGATGAAAGAGGTAACAAGGACATTACTAGCATAAGAAGATGGTGTTTCTAAAGGGGGTCCCAGAAAAAGAGGTCTGAGTGGAAAATTCTGTACGAGCATAGTGACCCATAAATACTGGTAAACTGTGTAATAAACTGGCTTTGCTTTGCTGGCATAAGCAGAGTCCATGTCAGACAATCCTCAGAGTACTCTAAGGGGTGGATTTCACACGTATCTAGCCTGAAAACAAGCTTACTTTTTATACACACAAACATGAACAACATTAAAAATGAAGTTTCAATGCATGTTTATTCTTGTGGGGATTTTTAACACCCCTTCTAGTGCTGGGGGTGGGAACTCCAGTGCCCTAAGATAGTGATTTCTTTTAAACCAGTAAATGCAAAACTCGCTATAATTTAAAATGTACCTGCCTCTGCCAAGATACCTTGTCAACTGCAGGTAATTTGGCAATTTATGCTATGTAAACTTAGAAAATACAGGACTGAATGGTGCAGAAATAATGATTAATGCAGTAAGATTTTGAAGAAACCTGAGACCACTGCTGAGGAATGCTGAATCTGCCGATTACCTCAGCTTAATGGAGCACTTTCAATTCTAAACAATCAATTTTCTGGAGATTTTCCACAGCTTCCTGAAGATTAGAGTACAATCACAAACTCCCAACACCAACCCAATTTCCTTTCTGCAACAGCTTTTTAATTAGTCTAGGTAGAGTAAGTGTAGAAAATACAGCACTTATATCAATCTATATATTTTTACAAAACTTTCCAAAAGCAAATAACTGGTGTCAAGGTTGGATAAATCATAAAGGAGAGTTATTGTACTGGATCTAAGACATTAGATACCTTTTCAATTACTGACATTCAATTTCCTTATTATTTTCATTTGTTAGTTCCACCTAATTTTGGATATATTCTTTTATTTCCCCATTAAATCTGTTTAGTTCAGAGCCATGATCAGGTCATATTCAAAGTCTGTGGATAGCCAAGACATCAGACACAAAAGAAAAGTTATTAGAAACCCCACACTTAGCATGCTCTGTCTCATATCTTCTGAAAGGTTGTTACTGTAAATGCAAAACCAATGTGGCCTGATACTGGTTGGAAAAGTAGGAGACATAAAATGCATGAGTAATTTTTTACATTAGGTCGCAAACTGAGTTCTTCTTTAACCAATTAATTACCTTTGCCTGTCAGGAAAAAAACATTGCTATGAAAATTAATATTATCTTTATTATGGATGTGTCCCTGAAGATATTGATGCACTGATGTATCTCCATGTACAAGGCCTGCAAACAGTGAAATAATTCTACCTTGTGAGCATATGTAGATTTTGCACTATTAGGAAGAATTTATTATGTAGTTTAATGGTTGTTACTTAGCATCATCTGCTCTTTTTATATATTCTCTATCAGCATACCCATTTTTGTCTTTCAGCCTTATTATCTTGTGTACATGAACAAAGAATACGTTACAGGTAGTGGGAATATAAACCAGACCTAACTGGCCACAGCCAAGGCAAGTTCAGTTTCCCTGACTCAGGTGGAGCAGACTCAGCATAATGTGTATTGGTTACATGACAATGTTAGCACAGTGCCCAAGGGAAGGACACCCTGATAGTTAAAACAAAACAGGATCTGTCTTATCTTACCAATTTATGAATACTTTCAGATACTTACCTGCTTTTTGAAGCACCTCAGTTCTCCCCTCAGTGAACAAGGATATTCAAAGAATCACAGGTTTGAGTTGGAAGAGACCTTAGAGACCAGCTTTTCCCACTCTCTCCTCCACCAAGGAGAGGACACCTTCCACTAGATCATCCAAGCCCCATTCAACCTGCCTTTGAAGACTTTCAGAGATGGGATAGCCATAGCTTTCCTGGGTAACCTGTGCCAGTGCCTCACCACCCTCACAGGGAAGAATTTCTTCCTCAGATCCAATTTAAGTCTACTGTCTTTCAGCTGTGCAGCTCTTTCCTTTCCTGGAGGCTCCATACTCCAGACCTGACACTGTCACACAGGAGTATGAGGTGGAAAAAAAATTTAAATGTTCTTACTGCTGCTGACACTGCAGGTCCCTCTGTGAGAGCTGAGTATGGCATGCAGGACATCTGCCTCAAACAAGTTGCTTGCTCCAGCACCAAGATAAAGAAATGGTCAGAACCATCTCTGTTACCATCTGCTGCCATGGTACATAAAATAAATAATTCATGTTTCACAGGAGCAGAATATGTATCACAGTGTTAGCAGCTACCTGTACACACACAATATTTCGTTTTTCAATACTAGTTTTTCCAGAATTCCCCTCCATCTGAACACTCTGCAGTTAGTTCTAAAAGATTTGTTGCATTTTTCTATAAATTTCCAACCCTTATTCCAGATGGACTGAATTTTTCCTTTGTGTAGATCACAGGCACAAAGAAGATTCAGACGGATTTTAAAAAAAAATTTAAGATTTAGGGCAGCAGAAATAAAGACTCATTGTGAATTCCCTACTATATCACCAGGAGAGATAAAATACAGAGAAGAGCTGTTGGACAGAGATGTCTCAACTCTCCCAAGTGCATGGGAGATCTTACTCTGCTTTTCAGGCTCAGGTTCTCCAAGTTCTGACCCAGGCTCTCTCTGCACTCCCTAAATGCGTATTAAATTCCACTTTAAATCCCACATGTAGCAACAACAGCCCTCCAGTGGTGCAGCCTAAAAGCCCTCACATTACCCTTCCTCTAAAGAATGCATGGCTGGGAATAGGACACCCTTTCCTTTTGCAATCCATTTGAGTTTTTGAACTGGATGCTGCTGTGAAAAGGCAAATGCAACCTCAGTTACTTATGGTGACATGCCTCTATTGCTTTTAGGATCCATGTGACCTCCAAGTTTGGCTCTTAGTTACACCAAGTGCTGGTGCTCCTAAGAGCTGGTTGTTTCCCTGGCTCTGCCAGGCATCCTCCTCTCCAAATCCTGCAGGGACAGTCCCAGCTGAAGTTCAACCTGTGACAGCAAGTTCTCACAATGTGACCTGGGTCACTTTTGAGCCTATTGCATTAGAACTGAAGTTAAAAGGGGAAAAAACAGAGATAATCTGAAATAAAAGCATAACTAAACGATGTGTGAAAACTAAATTGCCATATCACAGTTTAGTGCCCAACCCAGATATGGTTATTGTGGCACTTATGATACAACAAACCATTGGCTTATCAGCAGCATGACAGTTAACTACTCTGCTGACAAGCATAAACCTATTCCACCACTATTTTGTATTATTAATTAGGAGAGGGGGGAGCACCAGGGAGACTGGTGGCTCATCTAATGTCTAATGTGATTGGTTTTATTTGGCTTGAAAAATCATCTATTTAAATTGTGCATCAAGGTCATAATGCATGGGTAGTTTCACTCACCGTGGCATTTTGATGGTGGCTGTGCTAGGTGGGAGCTCATATGCCATATCATTATTTCCCACACATCAACTGGAGAGGCAAATAAACTTTTGATTTATAATGGGAACACAATGCAAGCAAGCTGAAAGCCTGCCTCCAACAGCTTCAGTTAAAGGTATTAGGAGTCAAGGTACAAGCTTGCAGAAGGATAACAAGATAAATCTACTTACACTCTACAAAAATATCTATCACTATTCCTCAATATTGCTACCTGTGTATGGATCTGATCAATATTCAGTATCACCTCCGCTTTACCCAGAGGCTGTGCAATACGCTAAATTAGCTTTTCCTATTACCATATAAAAGATATGCTTGAAATTGAACATCACTGTAATTTAACTGAAATTACAGGCAGACCAAATCTGTCTTGATCACTTTGCAAACCCCTTTACATTAATCACATTAAAGACACTGCAGATGAACAAATCAGCAGTGCAGGCAGAAATCTGACTGCCTTGAAGAAAGTCCTCAAATGCCCCTGGCACTGGGGACACGGGGAGGCCTGAATGTCACTGCAGATGTCTGTGGGCCTTGCCAGCACCATGGTGACCATGTTGGTCCCATTCGCAGCACCAAAGGCTGGTCACAGGTACACTCACTTGGGATGTATTGGCCCAATCTGAAAACACCATAATTTCCCCCAGCTTCAGCAATCCATCTTTCTAATACCTGCCCATAGTTGAAGATGGTGACACTGTGCAGATAGTTGAAGATGGTGACACTGTGCAGATTGCTTCAGCCATGCAAAGGGACTGACTGGCCCAGACCGCACACTGGTGTCCCCAGCACAGGGATGTGGGCAGCTGGAAGAGCAAGGACAAGAGATTCCCTACATCCAGCTGAGCACAAGCAGCACTGTTGCATTTCCTAGATGCATTGTAAATGGTACATTCCGTGACCCCTGCTATGCCCTGTAGCTTGGTCCCTCTCCCCTCCTGGCCATACAGAGCTGGCCAGGATCCAATTTCTCCCCGCCCCCCTTTTCAGACCCTAGAAAAGATCTGAATCCCTGACCTCTGCCTCCTTTTCTCTTTTTCCCTCTTTCTCCCTCTTTTCCTCGCTACCCACTAGAAATAAACCCTGTAACTTCATCAGGGAAAAGAGCCTCTTTTGTTATCTTATTTACGTCCATGAGGCAAGGGCCCTGGAGCCCATCACCCTAACACCTGAGCTAGACTGGAGGAAAGGTGAAGACCCCATTTTTAGGGCCGAGAAAAAGCCTCAGTTGGTGCCCCAATGTGGCTGGTCGCTACAGAGCACGCCACATTCAGCTGTGACTCCTATTTTCGGGGTTCAAGAAGCCTTGGAGCTGATCAACTAGCTTAAATTTCTTTTAGCTGCATTTTGTGCAGTTCGAAGACTTTTAAGCACGAACCGGGAGCCTGTCAGGAGCCCAGGCAGGTCGGTTCTGGACGTAGACCCACTACAGTTACTCAGAAGCCTCTGCCTGCAAGAAAAAAAAGGTGAGTGGAAGCCTCCTTTCATGTCGGGTGGGTTCCCAGAGTTCCGCAGGGGGGTCTCACCAGTGGCATTTTGCCGGCCCGGCGCGAATCTCGGGAGGAGAGACAGCACAGGCGTGTGTGCGGCATGTGCGCGGCTCTGTGTGCCAGCAGCCACTTGGTGCGACGCGGGGGCTGTGGGGGGCTGGACGCAGCCACCTCAGGCGCAGCAGGCAGACAGCTTTGATCAGTTTCAAAGTGGCGGCACGGAGTTTTTGGGGGTTTTTTGCAGTTTTTGCAGGTTTTTGTGGCAGGGTCGGTCCCTACAGCAGCGCAGGCGCCACATGGGTTTTACCGACAGAAACGGCGAAATTAACATCGGCTCCGCATCCAGTAAAGCCTGAAAACCGTGGTGTACCTGGCACGTTTTAACAACTAAGTCCTTTCCTGTGTTTTAACTGTAGTGGGGTAGATATAGTGGCAAATTGCTAAACATCATGGGCTTACAGCAATCTGCTTTACAAAAGAGTATAAGAAACCAACTAAGGGAAATATTAAGTTCAGGAAATGCTTTAATATCTAAGAAAAAATTAGCCCTTTTTGCCAGCTGGCTGTCTGTTGAAAAATCTGACCTTGAATTGCAAAATATAAATTCGATTTCATTTTGGGATGAAATAGGGCATTTATTAACTCTAAAAGTGGAAAATGGAGATAAAACAGCTTCTGTATTCCTCCCAATATTCCTACAAATTCGGAAACTTTTAATTCAGACAGAAAACAACAGGCAGCAGCAGCAAAACGGTTCAGACTCACCTTCCCTTTCCCCAAAACCCTATAACCCGAACCTGGAGGGGACCCACGAGTCTCCCTGGGGGGTGCAGGGCGCCCAGCATGGCTGTGGCTGTTCTGAGTCCCTGGGTCCTCCCCGGTATCCCGGTTCTGATAATTTTTCGAAAATTGTCAGCACTCCTTCCTTGTTCCCTTCCCCTCTGGGCCACGGCCACCTGGCTACGCCTGAAGGAGTCAGGGTCGGGGTCCCAGATACCTCTGGCCATGCGGTACAGGGAGTGGGGGGGGGGGTCCCATATGGTGGCAGCCACGTGTTTCCTCCTTCATCCCGCAACCCCCTTTACCCTCCGGTCCCTGCCCCTAAGCCTGTCCCATCCCATAACCCATCCCTGCCCTCTGCTCCACTTCCCCCTCCCCCCTCCAAGACCCCGCCCTGCTTGGCACCTGGCGACCCCGCCCACAGGTATTGCAACCCTGAATCCCACCACTCCTCCCGCGCTCCGGTTTCACATTCCTTCTCTCCAAGCTGCTGCGGGGTGGGGGAGGGCAGTGGAGCCCCTGCTAATTTCAGTGCCGGTGGGGGTGGGGAGGGATCAGCACAAAGCCCCTGCGGGACGGATGGTGTCCCCATGGTGGGGGAGGGTGGGCGACCCCCGGACTGGGTGGGGGGGGATGCCCAGCCCTAAAAGTCAACATCAGGAAAAAGAGTATATACCATCAGTTGCTCCTGTAGTTTATCTTGGTAAGAGAAACGGAAAAAGAAGTTATCAGCCTTTGTCCTACCAAGATAAAAAGGAAATTTGTAAAGTACAGAGAGAATTTGGTAGAAATAGTGAAATCTTTAAAGGCATGATGAGACCCACCTTTAACTCAAGTGAACTGGTTCCATATGATATCAAAGAGCTTTTCCTATGCCTGTTAACTCCTTCAGAATATGATCTATGGGAAAGCCTATGGAAAAGATCTTTAAAAGTGCTTTTACAAGAGCTTTTAAAAAGCTCAGATGATGCAAAAGATGCTGATAATAATGACATAACATATGAACACCTATGTGGGGAAAAGGATTGGCATTGCCCCGAAAGCCAAACCAGAGTACTATCCAAGTCTGTCCTGGATAAAATATGCAGTGTTGCAGAAAAGGCTTTTAATCAATTACCAACAGTAGATGCTAAAGGCAGTTATGTTAACATTAAACAGTTTGCTTCTGAGAATTTCTTACAGTTTGTGGACCACCTTTGTGTACAAGTGGAAAAACAGGTGTCTGATCCACTGGTACAAGCTGAATTAATTAAAGAAATGGCTCAGAGGAATGCTAATGAAACCTGCCATAGGGTTATTCTTGGCCTTCCCCTAGAGCCAGCACCTAGCTTAGCACAGATGATAGAAGCCTGCGCCAGAAAAGCAGAATTGCTCAGTGGACACGAGAGAAAACCAGGACTGGCACACCCAAAGACCATGGCAGCTGTATCACCAGAAGCCAAGAAGCAACCAATGTCACCAGAGCAGCTGCAGCACATCATCTGCTTCCAGTGCAAGCAGCCAGGACACTTTGCCAGAGACTGTCCACACAACCAGAAACAGAAGAAGACCAACAAACAAAAAAACTAGCTTTACAGCGTGTACCCGCCATTAACACAATAGCACGCTCGGCTATAAATACGGCGGGGTCCACACTCACAAAAGACTCTCTCTTAATAAACAAAAAGGGGGAGGATGGCATAGAGGGTGTGGGGATGCATGGCAATGAAAATATTACATGTTCAATTAACAAGGTTTGGAAGCCACTAGGCCGTTTTAGGCTTTTGACTACCAAAAGTTTTCATTTCAGGTCACCTGATTGGACAGTCATTACAGTGGACTTACCTAACAGTACACAGGACGTGACATTAAACCACATGAAACTGGATAGTGAGTACTTTATTGTCAGGGACACAGCACACACACCCCCAGAGACTGAGGTAGCTCCCATGACCATCAAGGGAAGCATAACTGGCCTCATTCTCCTGGCACGATGTCCTCTACCACCATATTACCTGGTTGAGGGACAAATCCTTGCCCAGGCCATTCCTGTTCAAGCGCAATTCCTAGTAGATGGAAAATCACCTGAAGTCTACTGGTCAGAAGTGGTGGGTGAGGACAAACCTTCTCTGGCATGCAACCTAACCCGTGGATCAGATCACCTCCATGTGGAGGGGGTACTGGACACAGGTGCTGATGTGACTATCATACCCGAAAGGATGTGGCCATCACATTGGGAACTTCAGCCTGTGGCAGGCAGAATCCAAGGTGTAGGAGGAGTAAAATTGGCAAAAATATCAAAAAGCATTGTGCAAATTGAAGGGCCGGATGGAAAATTGGCTAGCATCCGTCCATTTGTTACAGACTATAAATGCCCTCTATGGGGGAGAGATACCATGTCCCAGTGGGGGGTAAAATTGATTATTCCTAAGACTCCTCAGGATTTTTAGAGGCGGCCACTGTACAGCGCCCTACCCAAAAGTTGAAATGGCTAGATGATACCCCAAAGTGGGTAGCACAGTGGCCGATGAGTAAGGAGAAGCTCAGGGCGCTTGATGAGCTTGTGGAGGAGCAATTGGCTAAAGGCCACATAGAGGAGACCACAAGCCTGTGGAATTTTCCAGTTTTTTTTTGGTAAAGAAGCCGGGGAAGGACAAGTGGGGGCTGCTCCACGACCTCTGGGAAATAAACAAAGTAATTGAGGACATGGGATCTCTCCAACCTGGGATGCCTTCTCCAACAATGCTTCCCAGAGATTGGCAATTGGCTGTTCTAGACATCAAGGACTGTTTCTTCCACATTCCCCTACACCCAGAGGATGCCCCACAGTTCGCCTTCTCGGTTCCTACCATCAATTGAGAAGCCCCAATGAAGAGCTACCACTGGAAAGTTTTGCCCCAGGGATTAAAATGTAGTCCCTCCATCTGCCAGTGGCATGTGGCCTCATTGCTCAGAGAGGGGAGGCCATCATCCTACATTACATGGATGATGTGCTAGTGTGTGCCCCCAATAACTCTCTACTCCAAGACACACTTGACCTAGTGGTTAGAGTTTTAACCTCTGCTGGATTTGAATTGCAGGAAGACAAAGTCCAAAGGATGCCACCTTGGAAGAAGCTGGGCTTGGAAATTACTGCACGGACCATTGTTCCACAGAAATTGGAAATTAATTGTAATCCAAAAACCTTAGCAGATCTCCATTCCCTGTGTGGGTCATTGAATTGGGTTAGGCCCTGGCTAGGCCTCACTAATGAGGACCTAGAACCTCTCTTCAATTTATTGAAAGGGGAGAGAGAGCTGCTTTCTCCCAGGGAACTGACCCCAGAAGCAAAGACTGCAATCGAAAAGGTACAAAAGACTTTAGGAGAGAGGCAAGCTCATCATTACCAGCCCGAGCTGCCCTTCAAATTCAATGTCCTAGGAAAACTGCCACACTTACACGGGTTGATATTCCAATGGATCGAGGGGCAGAGAGAGTCAGTCTTAATCATAGAGTGGGTCTTCCTCTCCCACCAAAGATCCAAAACTATCACTAAGCCACAAGAGTTAATAGCTCAGCTGATTCGAAAAGCAAGGATGAGACTGTATGAACTAGCTGGTTGTGACTTCACATGTATTCACCTCCCTGTTAAACTATCTGAGGAGGGAAGGAACTCTCCTGAAAGATTGACTAAAGAGATGTTTGAGCACTTGCTTCAGAGCAATGCCAGTCTCCAGTTATCTCTGGATAGCTACAGAGGACAAATATCAGTCCATGCCCAGTCTCACAAGCTGTTTAATGAGGAATTCCACCTCATTCCTCGTGAGGAGTCAGAGACCACTCAAAGCTCTCACAGTGTTCATGGATGCATCAGGGGTGTCCCATAAGTCAGTGATGATTTGGAGAAATCTTCAGACTCAGCATTGGGAAGCTGATGTTGAGTTTGTGAAAGGATCACCCCAAGCAGCTGAACTGGCAGCAGTCATAACAGCCTTTGAGAAGTTCTCAGAGCCAATCAACTTGGTAACAGACTCAGCCTATGTAGCGGGGGTAGTGTCCAGGGCGGACCAGGCAGTGCTCAGAGACATCGAGAATGAACAGCTTTTCAGGTTGCTTTCCAAACTAATTTATTTGATTTCTCATAGAGAACACCCGTTCTATGTGATGCATGTGAGATCACACACAGATTTGCCAGGCGAAATTGCAGAAGGGAACCGTCAGGCAGACTCCCTTGCAACCCCAGCAGAACAAGCAACCCCAACAGAACAAGAACGCCTCCCTGACATCTTCCAGCAGGCAAAGCTGAGCCACCAGCAGTATCACCAGAATGCACCAGGTCTAACACGTCAGTTCCAGCTAACACGGAGTCAGGATGGAGCCATTGTGACCACCTGTCCCAACTGTCAGCTCCAGACCATGCCATCAATAGGCATGGGGGTTAACCCCCGAGGTCTTGGCAGTTGTGAGGTATGGCAGACTGACATCACACACATTCCTAGTTTTGGTTGCCTCAAATATGTTCATGTAAGCATTGACACATATTCAGGCGCGGTCTATGCCTCTGCCCATGCAGGAGAAAGGGCAATGCACGCCAAAAAACACCTAGTGCAAGCCTTTTCAGTATTGGGGATCCCTAGGGAAATCAAAACTGATTAGGGCGCAGCGTATAAATCCAAGGAGTTCCTGGAATTCGTCCAGCAGTGGGGAGTGGAACATAAAAGTGGCACCTCCCACTCCCCCACAGGCCAAGGTGTAGTTGAGCGAGCCAATCAGACGCTCAAACAGGTTTTGGCTAAACAGAGGAGTTCAACTGCGTGGATGTCCCCACAGCAGTTGCAAAGCCATGTTTACTATCAATTTCCTGAATTGTTCATTTGAGAACATGAGTCCACCTGTGGTACGTCACTTTAACAGTGGGAAACAGTTCAAGTTATCCCAACATCCTCCAGTCTTGATTAGGGACCCAGAAACCTGGGAAATCAAAGGTCCCTATGAGCTTGTTACCTGGGGGCGTGGCTATGTGTGCATATCCACTCCCTCAGGCCCTCGGAGGATTCCCCAAAAGTGGGTGAAACCGTATGTCCCCAAGCATCCTGCTCCAACTGAGGGGAACTAGGAGCAGGTGGCTGTGGCTTCGAAAAGAAGACGCCGCTGGAAAAAAAGAAAAAGAAATCCTCCTAAAGGATGACATTACGGCAGATAGAGGCTTTTAACAGGTTTTATAATGTTTGTCTTTCCTTTTAGAGAAAAGCTTCTCTTCTCTAGGTCCTGTGATGAACCCCATTCAAGTTGTCTTCCTGTTAACACCGAGCAGTTTAGCAGCTGCATGAATCGTCCTTCAACCACGTCAAAACATCTGGATGACCCTGGCACACACACTCCAAAATCGTGCTGCTATAGATTTTCTCCTACTACTGCACAGACATGACTGCCAGGAATTTGAAGGACTTTGCTGTATGGACCTGACCTCGAGAGCTCCTAACATCCATGCTACCCTAATCTGAAGATTGGTTCAATGGACTGTTCAAAAGCTGGGGACTCACAGGGTGGTGGGCAAAATCATAATTTGAATGAAACTAATATCCTTCTTTCAACTTTGTTAAACAACAAACCGGGAGATGTTGCATTTCCAAGATGCATTGTAAATGGTACATTCTGTGACCCCTGCTATGCCCTGTAGCTTGGTCCCTCTCCCCTCCTGGCCATACAGAGCTGGCCAGGATCCAATTTCTCCCCGCCCCCCTTTTCAGACCCTAGAAAAGATCTGTGCCCCCTGACCTCTGCCTCTTTTTCTCTTTTTCCCCTCTTTCTTCCTCTTTTCCTCGCTACCCACTAGAAATAAACCCTGTAACTTCATCAGGGAAAAGAGCCTCTTTTGTTATCTTATTTACGTCCATGAGGCAAGGGCCCCGGGAGCCATCACCCTAACACCTGAGCTAGACCGGAGGAAGGGTGAAGACCCCATTTTAGGGACGAGAAAAAGCCTCACAGCACCCACCCCTGAAGGATGAGCTAGACACATCCAGTGCCCTTCCTGACCACAACAGGTGTTTGGCTCCTAGTTCTGTCCATTTCTAGGAACAGGAGCTCCTACCTTTGGCTTCTCCAGCCTTTGCTTCCCACCTGTTTCTTGGCCTTGGATATTTATTTTTTGGTAGAAATTTCTTTTTTCTTTCATGACTTTCTTTTGCGCAGGACCTCTCTGATTTTGACAATCTTCAAATTATGTCCTTAAAATAAACCTGACAATCAGCAATATATAAATTATAATTTCCTTCTCCACTTGCTTCAACTATCTTAAGCAAGCAATCATGTCACTTCACTTATAGCCCCCATTTATTCAAGTAATGCCCTGTTTGTATTATATCATCCTTATCTGATGGCACACCAAGCCATCTGCAAATCCTCAGGGCTAATGCAATCCTGAGTACTTAAAGATTTTCCTGTTCTTTTGTGCTGCAAGGACTGATTTCTATGTAGAGCAATGACTACTAGATGACATCCAGGTAATGAGAGGGCTTTCTTTATACATCCACCATTTTAACTGACCTGTTAAACAAGACCTAAAAGAAGGAAAGCATTGCTCTGCTAAAAGCAAGTGGCCCAGGGTACCACTTAATATTCAAAAGAAACTCTAAAATTTAATCTCCTTGCTGGAATTACTTGCACAAGTGAAGGTGGCAACAGTCAAATGTT